TAATATTACGACTTTATTCTGGTAATGTTGCGACTTTTTTCTTGTAACATTATGAATTTTTTCTGTTAATATTACGACTTTATTCTGGTAATGTTACTAGTTTATCATTTTATTAAGTTACTTGTTGCCATGAAGCCAAGTTGTTCAGTAGGACGAGTCTAGAAGCAGAGTTCTAGTTTCTTATAGATTTAATCTAGAATTCTATTCCACATTAAATAACGAGGAGAATAAAGACTCTCCTGTTTTCCTTTTGGTTGGTTTTTAAATCTTAGTTCTTTTATGCTGAAGTTCTTTCCAGGTGGTGTAGAATCTATAGCATGCGGTTCTATACAGTAATACATCAGGTGGTTTCTGAAAGTTACAGGTTAAAATTACTCTGAAAATTAGACAGAAATGTTAATATTAGAAAATGTAATTTGTACTTTTGAATACTTGAATATAGTGAGTACATCAGTACTTTCAGTATTCTGCAGATTTTTTATGGAGTAACTTTTACTTTTAGTTGAGTAAGATTAGACTATGAGTATTAATACTTTTACTCGATTACTACTGAGGACGTTAGCAACAACATCTTTATTGGTCCAGAGCGAGCGCTTGGATTGGACAGGAAGTGAAGAATGTGATCTGGAAATGAAAAAAACTTCAAAGAAATATTGAAAATAAAACTGGTAATAAAAAAAAAAAAGTGTAAGTTTAGTTCTGGGTTTCATTTTCTTTTTTTTCGCTCTGTTGACTTATAGTTTTTCTAAATTTGACCTTTTGACCTTTGACTCACACCTTCAAACCAAACCACACTGAATGAATCGACTTGTTTTAAAGAAGGTGGGCGGGGCTAACTGCAGCAGACTTACGTGACGATGGTTCTGCGTGCAGCTGGTTGTGATGGAGAGACAGCCGGCGCCTGCAGGGAACCAGGGGAGGGTTAGTGGGTTCATACTGGTGCTAATGGTGCTGGACAGTGAAAGACGTTGACAGGAACCTTGTTCTGTCCCTGTCTTTGGTGGGACGCCTGGATCTGGTTGGTCTGCTGCGAGTTCTGCAGAGGGAGCGGAGCGCCTGACCCAGAAAACAGAACAAAAGTCCATCAGCAGCAGATCAGACAAGACCTTGGTCCATCTAGCGCAGCGGGTCGGGCCTTACCGGGCGGCGGAGGCTGGGTTCTGGTTCTGCTCTGGAACTGGCTGCAGGTCAGAGTTAATATTAATCACCGTTTAAATGAACTTAATCCTTTAGAAGGAGTTAAACTTCCATTCCTCAGCATGGTTCTTGATTTTAACCTGAAACCCTTTAAAACTGCAGACAGATTAAACTGGTGTGACTGGTTCTGCTGGGATCACCTGTATTCGTGGAGAAGCAGGTCTGCAGGCTGGGCCTGGTTCTCCACAGCCTTCTGGTAGACGCCATCAGCCTGCTGGTTCATCCCCTTCTTCTCCAGCTGCTGAGCCCAGGCCACGTACAGCGCCGCCGTCCTGCTGCCCACGCCTTTACTGAACACGTGGCCATACAGCGCCGCGGGGTCCGGGTAATGGCTGGCCTGGAGGAAACGGTTTAGGTGAGGACCTGGGCGGGGCAGGGGGCGACGCAGGGGAGACGGGAGCCCGACTTACACATTTGATGCAGTAGTTCACGTATCTGATGTCGTTTGCGTATCGATCCACGTTCAGGAACCTTTGGACAATAGCGTCAAACACCGGCAACATCTCGCTGCCGGCGCCCATTTGCTCCAGGAAGTCGACAAACCTGCAGAGACGAGCAGAAGGACGGCGCTCAAACATGGCTGCTAATGACTGAGCTGACAAGGAACACCTGCACAACTTACCTGAAGTTACGTTTGCATTTATTACTTTATTAAGCTACACATACGGTTCTACTGACAGTAAGGAGGTTCGTTCAGTAAGCGATGCCCCCGACCCACTTCAGGTAGATTGATCCAACTGAAACGTTGCACATGCAACTGCTTATATCTCTATAGATTAACTGGTAAAAGAAAGAAGGAGAAGACGATGAGAAAAAGAGAGCAGAGAAAGTGTGGACTGCTGGAAGAACTGCGGTGAACTGGTGAAAGAAAAGTGAAATGGCGTGCTCAAAGATGACCCTGCACATTTAGAGGATGTTTGGCTCAACCTGCTGCTGTGAAGCAGGATTCTCCACCATGAACAGAATCAACAATAAATCTGGATCCAGGCTCAAAATGAGCTCCTTGATATGTGCTTGAGAATGGCTTAGTCTCCGGTTAAACCCAGGTTTAAAGCCTTGCAGGGCAGCCTAAAGCCCACTGCCAACATTAAGACAGAAAAAAGAAAGAAAATAACAAACCATCAGTTCAGGGGTTTGAGAAAATATGGGAATCAGGAAATTATCTATAAACCAAACTGAACGATTGATGTTCGCTACTTCAAAAAACACTTAAAATGGAAACATGTTCTTTATTTTTTTATATATATATTTTTTTAATTCAATGTATATCATGGATTCATAAAAAACTCATTTTATTTCAGTGTTAAATTCTGTTTAAAGTAACAGATTATAGTTAAAAACGTCTCCTAACCTTTACTGGTTGATGGTTTTCTTTATTCAGATGATTTTTAACTGGTTACCACTGCTATACAGCATCATTCACGCATAATTTACAAATAGAAAATACTACAACATTAACAGACATGTGCTTGAAATTCAGTCCTGATGTAAAATCTTAAAACCATATGTAAGATGTAATTACCACAACAATATCATCAATACATGTATATTACATGTACATCATCATTTATCATGTATTATTCTGCCCCATTAACACATTAATTTTATTGTGATGGATTTTTATAATGTTATACTATATGATTTATAGACTTCATAACGACTCTGCAATGTGGTGGGTCTATTTATTTATTCTAAGTTACATTAATCTACTGATGCTATGAAACAATTTATCTTTAGTCAGCAGAGTACCTCTGGAAGATGACTCAGCACTCTGGCTAAAGCAGCATTTCTGCTACAAACCATGAAAAATCTGTTTAGATGTTTTTTGTTTTTCATGTTAAATTTAAGGAAAAACTCCAGCTTTTAGTTTTAGGTGTTTTAGTCTTTAATAATTTCAGTTATACATTCAAATAATATAAACATGTTGTTACTAACTTCTCACTATGCATTTTGTATTAACATTGCTTAAAAGTCTAAAACCACCCTGAAAATAAGAACTGCTGCAGATTGTTTACATTCTGACCGCTCTAACCAGGGAGTACCAATATGGCGGCCAGTGGCTTCACTTTAACCCCATTCTACCAACGGGCGATCAGCTATCCAGGGAATAAATAGAGATCAGAGTTAATCTCACCACTAATTAATCTGTGTGATGTCACGTGACCCTTACTAGATCTGACGTCACTGTCAGAGTTGTTTATGGAGAACAACTGAGGGCGGATTATGTTGGATTATATCGTTTTGTCATTCCATCCAGTAAATAAAACTATTTAATAACTGGGCGGTTTTTCTAACAGATGTTCGGTCTGGAAACCCTGGATCTATCTGGACTCACCTGTCCCACGGATGCAGAGGATCATCTCCACTGTAGGAGGCCAAGCTGTCCTCAAAGCACCTGAAAGGGAAAAGATTGGAAGATTGAGGAGAAAAGCAGCAGGAAGCTAACAGCCGCTAACGGCTCCCAGCAGACTCACCGTAAATACGAGCTGATATCCATCTCAGCTCCCTGAACATGAAATAAACTTTATTAACAATCGCTTTATTTAGCTCCGCTGTAACACAGAGCAAACTGTGTGGATTTAGCTCGTTATTAGCTAGCTTCCTAGCTGCTCCCAACAACTATTTAAATTTCGCGCTTAGCCAATAAACGACCAAAGATGTGTAAACGCTACGCCCCCAATGGGAAACAGGATGTGACGTAGGCACATCCGGGGTTCTTTTCAAAGCAGATCGCTCACCCAAAATATATTATTATATTAGTAGTTAGAAGAAAAGCAAAATATAATTTATAAAATAGAAGAATTAGCCAAAGATAGACTAAAATTAATTTTACTCTAACCTTTGATATTGATCTTATTTTTTATTATTTCCCATCCACTCATATATATCTTATTAAACTGCATCTACTTCATGCACATTTTCCTCCTTTTATTGTTAATAGGATCCGATGTCACCAGTGAATTCCTCCATTGTGAGATTAATAAAGTTTAATCTCATCTAATCTAGTGAATTCCTCAGACTTAGATTCAACCTTTATTATATATACCAAAACAAAAATAAAATAAAACATTAAAAATCAATCCACTGGACTTTGTTTCCAGGTTTGAAGACGTTTCTCTTCCATCCAGGAAGATTTTTCAATTAAAAATGTCAGAAATAGCGTTTAGTTCCAGGTTTAATCCAGCAGCCCAACAAAGCCTGGTTTTAGTTTAGAAAGTGTTGGGCTGTGCATCTATGAAGACGCATGGCCCAGAAGAGCTACACCCTCCAGAAAAGACTCTGCGGTCCATCTACACCTGATGGACAAAGGACATTCTTTGGAGGACCAGAATGTTCACATTTTGGACAAAGAGGACAGGTGGTTTGAGAGGAAGGAAGCCATCTATTCTTAGATGTGTAAAAAAGATCCACAAATCTGTATTCACATCTAATGTTAGTAGATCTGTAGATCTTATTACACATTTATAGATCTGTGGATTTTTTTCACATTTGCAAACCAGATTACACACACAAGTGTTTTTTACACAATTGCAGATTGATGTACAGACGCATAAATCTCCTCACATTTCCAGATTTATTTACAAATTTTCAAATACAGACACACAACTCTCCACACACGTGCAAACAAT